AAGCCGACCGGGAGGAGAGTTAGTTTCTTGTATTATTCAACAGCCGAAAGGTACCGTTCAACAGTTTATTGGTGTTTGTATTTGTTGAAATTTGTAGGGGATGGGTATTTCCGGTAGATGCTGTAGAGATCACTCTTGACTTTAATAGCTGCTTTCAGTGATGCAGTCATCCAGGGGCAGGGTTTGTGGCGTGATTTCCGACGAGGAGGTGAGGATCTTCCTATATACAGGTCCAAGGCACCTTCAAGGATGTCAGTGAATGCGGAGACAGCCGTGTCGATGCAGTGGGAGGCAAGGACCTGAGACCAGGGTACATCTGCGAGAAAAATATTCATGGCATTCCACATGTTATCCGTGGCACTCCGGACATTGTATTTTTGTGTAGGTGGTGGGCTACGACAGGTGCTGTCTGCTGTGGGGGAAGACTTTGAGGAGGAGAACTCAGCCAGCAGGACGGCATGGTCTGATGCGCCAAGAGGAACCAGGTATTGAATGTGGTTGAGTTGGTTAGGGATGTTGCTCGCTATAAGGTCTAGACAGCTGCCAAGTCCATTCGAGCGGAGGTGGGTGGGAAAGGTTACCGATTGGGTCAGTTTATAGCATGAGAAGAGGTCGTCAAGACTCAGACCCTGTGCATCTGTTTGGTCAGTTGAGCACCATCCGGAATACCTAAAGTTGAAGTTGCCTGATATCACAAGGGCTTCGGGCTTCCTTTGAGTTGATTGCAGGGCTATTTGGAAGCGGTCGAGAAAAGTCGAGAAGTCATCCGTCGACGGGGAAGGAGCACGGTAGATACAGGCTACGGTTAGGTGGGTGTTGGCAGGTCAGAAGGTGAGACAAGCTTATGTTCAGCGAGTGTAAACCGAAGTGCTAGCGCGTCCAAGCCCGGTTGCTGAAAATCCGGTAGCTGATCAATGGAAGTACACAGACCTTCACGAACTAAGATTAGAACTCCTCCTTAACCCTTGTGTGGGTAACGGTTCTATCTATTTTCTAAAACAGGTCGGTCTCGACGGAAGCATTCATAGTGTGGCACGTGAAAAGCTTGTGTGGGAGTCAGCCAGGTTTCTGTAATGCATATTACGCTGGGTGTGTGATCCTCACAGATTTGAATGAGTTCGCCCGACTTGTTTGCTATGGAGCGAGCATTAAGGACACAGATTGTAAGTCGGTGAGTAGCAGCATGTACAGAATGGGGGAAGAAAGGTGGGGCAAGACCGTTGAGAGGCGCAGGGGTTGAAGTGGAAGAGGAGGGAGAGAGGTTACGCATTGGAAGCTGGCTTCGTCACTTTGGGGCTGTCCGCAAAACGCCACTTGCATACTGAGTGGCTGATGGCTTCGGGCCAGAAGGCTCTGTCTAGTACACGCTCTTCATGTTCTGCAGCCATAGTGACTCTGGCATAGTCTCCTGATGATTGCATTGAGCAAGAAACTCTGAGTTGCGACAACTCTGTAAACCTCCATTGTGCCTTTTTGTGTGTAGTAGTGCTCCACATTATTGTGTCGAGCCCTCTCCGCTGGCAGAAGGAAGTGTTCCTCCTTGTAATTGTATTGTATAAGTTACGAGTTATGACTACAGTCCGCCAAGGTAAGGAGATAATAATTATACAGTCAGAGCTCACTGACTTGTCAGTTTGAGCACTCTGGCAAGGTACGTTCGGGCCTGATTGGAAATTTTTATTTCCATTGCTATCAGGTTCGGCCTCATTCCTCTGTGCTGCGCTGACGAGTCCACAAAGGACGAAACAGTTCTGTCCGCAGATTGAGTAATTATACAGTCAGATAGTGCGGCAACAAGGCACAACACGGACAGAAGACATTCAACGACCTGCCACCTACGGTGTCGCTACACTTCGTCGAGATTTGGTTCACACCGCGACGCTTCATGGCGAGCCATTTCCGAACCCTGCCGTTCACAGATGCGGCGATTCGCAGCCAATTCGCTTCACAGCGCGACATGCCACAGTGATCCGCTCGGCACCATTACATTTTCGCACCTGTCGCGTTCAGCGCGAGCATCACTTGATGCGTCTATAAGTATTGATTTCGGGGACAGTTGGATATCATGACGCATGCCACTTGCAAGCAAACAATGGAGAATGGAGGTGATTGCCGACTAGCGTCCGGAGGTAGGGACCGGCGGATTCTGCTCGAAAAGCAGTGAAATTGGCAGAACCATACGAACCTTATGGTGGGCAATTCCTCGAATTTTGCTCCATTTCTTTATCCACATACCAAACAAGCATGAAACTTACCAGAAAAAGTACCGAATTCTGCCAATTTTTCTGCCGGCAGAATCCGCCGGACCCTATCCGGAGGAGGAGCCAGACTACCGGTATATGACATCTACCAAGAGAGGAACCCCGAACATGTAAAATCATCACGTTCATGTACTGTATGTACATGATGTAGCTCAAACACATCTATGAAGCGTAAACCGACAACCATCAGCTTGGAAGGCTCAGGTGCGGAAAGTAGTTCCAATGCTCTTACTAGTCTCGTCATTATCATCCTGCAACATTCGACAATATTTGTTACCCAGGGACATACATGTACATGTACATAATTGTAGCTCGTGCACATCTTCGTGGCGAATCCCTTCCCCTCACTAGAACTTTCCGCACCTGAGCCTTCCAAGTTGGAAGGTTGTTGGTTAGTGATGCACGCCTGCATGTTTTAAAAGAACTCACGTTCGCTTCAGGAGACATTTTTCCGCGAGCTCCGGTATGTTGAAGGTTGTGGATACCACGTAAATGTACGTGTACTATGATGTACGTCGACTTCGCTGTGCCGCTCGTGTGCTCCGCTACGAACGACTGTTCTAGTCGCCCTGGCCGGACTAGTTCCGCACAGGAGAAGCTGGCGACTTGCAACGCCAGTGACCAACTTCTCCATGAAATATGCCGGATCATCTGTTGCTCTCCACACACTGTGCAACATGGCAAACAGACATAACAATGGACACAAGAATGTTCTTCGAAGTACGTAGCAGAAAAATATACGCCAACATGCAACCATAACAGCGCAGGAGTACACAAGGAGTACACAAGCAGCCTAAACCAAAATTTTGGACTTTTGATCTAGGGCAGGTTTGGTGGTGAAACTAATGCAGCATGAGATGTCACGTCGCTGATGTGCCTGTCTATTCGGCACGTTTCCGATCTTCCTTGCCAAGTCAAAAGGTCACCACTGGTGCTAGTCTCTGGAGCTGAATCGCAGAGTCTACCAGCGAGTTTAGACGTTCTGGATATTCTAGTTGCGATATGGTAGCGTGACAACACATTTTAGGTATTCCTCACAGATCCTACAAACCTGCATACATGTACTCAATCTTGCGACATGATCCATACTCATCTTGAAATTGACGGCACAGTGTATAGAAATGAGGTGTAATCTCCCTCAGGTTTGTAGGCATGGCAATACAAGTCATGTGAATGTACATTGTACATGTACATGTACATGATTGTGTATGTACAATCATGTAAATAATTATACATGTTATGCATCAGATTGGACACTTCTACTGTTTATAGTGCCTGACTTGGTCTTGGTGTGGTGAGGCAAGGGTGACGATGCCGTTGAAAACAGGAGATCAGAGCATACACCACCCTTGGCATATCGAGCCCATTGAAACAGGATACCTCTCACACCGGCAGGGTATGGTCAGAATTGACTATTCGCTGACAATCTTGCCTGTACCGTTACCTCAATATTGGGCTCCTTTGCAAAGTTATTAGCAAGACGAGCAAAGCAATGCCCATTTTGCAATTGAGAGAGTCGTAGGAGTAACTCCGCAGCGCGATTCCAAACACTGCCATCACTGCTCCAAATGAACGTACAGCCAGGCAAGGCGATGCTATCCATAGCGATAGGACACTGTGCACACTTTGGAGGACTACGGAATTTCTACAATCTACATTGTGGTGTTGAGTACTAGTACATATACGAGTTTCCCAATCTGGAATCTGGCCACCTAGATTGTAGCATTTTTTTTAAAACTTTGTTTTACTTCGCAAAATCCAAACGGGACTTTCTTCCCAATGACAAGGTAGCGAAGATATCACACAGCTCAGACTGAGCTCTACTCCCAACACTGACATCGTACCAAAACATCAAGAGTAAATGCTTGCGATAACGGTACATTGTAAGTCATCTCCATGTACAGTGTTGGCAACTGAAATCCTACCCCCTCCTGAGCGATGGGTTCATTCACATTCTTTGCGATGTGAGCGCACCGGTGCGCTCAGGGGGTCGGATTTCAGTTGCATGGACATGTACATGGCCATGTATAAAGGCTTGAAAACAAGAAATATGGAGTATACATGTACATATCCATGGGCTATATTAAATAATTCGTCTGCGTGCCGGCCAGGAAAAAAGGTGGACATAATGAATGGGAATGATTATAAAGCACAGGTAGGATTCGTAATAATTATACCGTATAGATGTACACAATGATGCAGACAGCCAGACTGTTTCGGCCAATGAGGCCTCATCAGTGCAACTCCGAGCTTAAAATAGAATTGAACTGTCAGCCATGGCCACGAGAACCACAGACATTAGGACAGTTCGATGTACTAGCGCTGAGAGTGCTCAAACTGCTAGAAGCAGCGGGCAAAGCATAAAGCTAACCAGCACAAGTGCGTCCTATCGAGAGTGCTGAACAAGATCGAAATCGAGGAGCAAAATACTCAATGATGCAGACAGCCAGACTGTTTCGGCCAATGAGGCCTCATCAGTGCAACTCCGAGCTTAAAATAGGATTGATCTGTCAGCCATGGCCACGAGAACCACAGACATTAGGACAGCTCGATGTACTAGCGCTGAGAGTGCTCAAACTGCTAGAAGCAGCGGGCAAAGCATAAAGCTAACCAGCGCAAGTGCGTCCTATTGAGAGTGCTGAACAAGATAGAAATCGAGAAGCAAAATACTCAATGATGCTGATGTGCCGTATAGATGTACATGTAATTGTGCTGGACAGAAAGGCTACAGTGCACAGATGGAGAGTCGGCAATAGAATCACTGTTGCCAACCAGCGTTTAATTTAAAGGGACGTGAATCTTTCCCTCAAGCCAATGAGTGTAAAGTATTATAATATACTTCAAATGAAGGGAACAAAAAATAGCTGGAATAATTCCGTTGTGTTAACTACACGTGGTGTTATATTCTTCATAACACTTGCATGAAGGCTCAATATACCGGAGCACGACTTTCAATCCTGAAACCTACCAACGCACATGTACATGTGGATGAAATTGAATTACGTGTATCATATTTACGAACTTGGAACCTGTATCATCCTTGCCAGATAAATACTAGTTCATTTACAAATCTTCTAATGATGATAAATACATGTATGTTGACGGTATTCAATAAGACTATAGCGACGATGCTGTATATCTTGTCCTACTATGCCTGCACGCAGTTTGCATTCTTTACAGCTACAGCTATAGCAGCTTACAGGTATTACTAGTATGGTATAATATGGTGAGAGAATACTAGGACATCTAGGTGGGATTGCAAAAATTCAGGAGCGAACGAAATTGGAAAATGGTACACATATACAACGTACATGTACATGTACATGTACGCTCATTTTAGAACTTGTATTGAGATTACTCAACAACAACTTACTCACACACCCACAACATAATTATACTGTACATGTACAAACCCACCTGCGTCCTCTGATCGACGTCACCTTCTCCATGTACATTGTACATTGTACGTTGTACGTGTACATTGACATACCCCACAAAGGATTCTCGCTATTGTGGATATTGACAATTTGACATACATGTACATGCACGGTGAGGACAGTTTGACCTCTCTTACTCTTACCACTCTAATGACATCCACAGTCACTGGCGCTGAATCCGGCTACAGTGAGAGTCTGAAACAGCCATGACGTGGACGTTAAAAAGAATGTGAATGAATGCAGCTGGGAAGCGACGCATTGCACCCGGGCACTGCCTCCTCTACCCATCACTAGCAAATGGTAGAGGTACATATGATATGCACTCGGAGCTGCAGGTTTGTAGATGGCATACTCACAAGATCCTTCGCAACTTTTCAGGCTTATGTGCTTGGGCATGAGAATTTTTTCCTGCATGATTGCATTCAAGTCGGCAATGGCTAGGTTCGTGCTTTGCAGCTGGCATGGACTGGGCTGCAGACGTGGGGGCATGATGTTGCTTCCCGATGCGCGTCGGCGGCGCCCCGTACTCAGGACAGCGGCGTGGTCGACCCTTTCTTTGGTGGTTGAGATTCCGTGAAGCACTTTCTTCTCTAGATGTTCATCGGGAACTATGGTGGCGATGATTATGCCAGTACCGGCGCATCGTAGAGCACGTTTGAGAGCTCTTTTCAACTCCGCCAATACTTCACTCAAAACCACCGGTACAGCGGAGGCCACATATCCATGCATGAGAATGCTGATGCTCATGTTTCGGTTGTCGTATTCATGGCACAGATCGTCTGTAATATTTACCTCGCTCCGGTCATTCATTCCTAGTTCACGCTGATACATGGGAGTTACGAGAATTGCCGATGTTCTTGAAACAGCGGCATGGCTGTTCCGTGCCGTTTGGTTCACAACAGTGTCAAATACATCCAGGAACCGTCGAAATCCTAGTGTGGCGCTTTGGCACTGACGTCCTGGTGCTCTGCTGCCATTTAATTCATACATCATTTGAATCGTGGCTGTGATGTTGGTGAATCCAACACGGTTGGAGGTTGTGGCGTACAGTTGAGCGTCTGAGCACAGAGAAATGCGAATACACACTTGTATCAAAAATCATGTTTCAAGTACAAACACATGTATGAATGAACTCGTATTGCGATTGATTCTGAGATTTTGCGAAGTAATTCAAAACCGACTGTCCAGTACGGGATACACTATGTCTAGATTGGTCACTGAGTAGAGTTGGTGGGAGACAAAGTGTTGCGATAATGTGAGAGGAGACTGTTGTAGTGTATTGATACTTGAAGTAGTATAAAGGGAGACTAGACGGTTGAAGAAGACACACGAAAATCCCGCATCATATCGGCCGTTCATAACGGGAAAGTACCAAACTCCAAAGCCTTCAAAATACAGGAGGTAACAAGGACAGTCATCTACATGTACATACATTGCACTGACTGCAAGTGTTCACGTTTCCTGAAGTCCGACAGGATCCATCCAGTTACCTAACCCGTATCTGGTGATCTGAACGCAAACAAACAGTATTCAGCCGCATGCCTGTGCTACTGATCAATGGAGATTTTGTGCTAATAACCCATAGTCACTTCGGTGTTTTCCACTTTACCAAAATATAAGTATGTACATCGTATATAGTCATGCTGACACGACGAATTCACTGACCATATAAAGATGGCACCAGTGCGGCAATAGAAGCAGCTCTGGTTGGCGCGGCGAAAGCTGCGTGCCTTCTACACGGCTTGGGGAGACGATGATGAGGGGAGAAATAGCGGACAGTTCGCTTTACCCGTCTTGTGGTGTTGTATGTAGCCTGCCAATGACCGTATAATTCGCCAGGCAGAGAAGCAGCTCTTGTACCGATCCCTACATGTACATGTATAGCCGCAGCTATTGATATGATCAGTCCTAGCCGGCTGCAAGGAAACAGTTCACGATGCATAGCCATTGAAGGTTTCGAAAGATACAACGAGTTGCCGCAGGCCGATTTCTTCTTCGTCACTCTCCTTCTGCAAACCGATTCCTTCCTCTTCCTTCTGCTTTGCTCGTTGCTCCAGGTCACGATCTACATCAACACAGTCATTGGTGGAATATCAATATTTCTAGGGGCGCCTTGTACATGACATTATACTACGTAGCTATTGTGAATCAAATGTAAACCCGGAGAATTAGAAACTCAGTACAAAGTACATTATGCCTGAGCGCATAGAACATCTTATCTGAAAAACGTCTGCCATAGTGAAACTTTTTTATACAAGTTAGCGCGAGATACGGGAAGTTCACACACTAATAATTGGTGCGGTCGATACCAGCGTATCATTTCCTTTTGTGAGCGTTCTTCATTCTGCCACTTGTCTTTGTCTGGCAGGAAATCAGCTGAGAGTACACTTGGTTCTGTGGTGCATTTTTTGTGCTAGGGGAATATCTGGTTCGTCTGCGGACATGCTGGATTCCCCACGCCCATCAGGCATTACGTCATTGCCAAAGCATTGGCAAAAACTAAGGCAAAAACTAAGGCAGTTTGGTTTCGTAGAGGTAGCGTAGGATCAGGTCTCCAGAGAACTGACTTGAAGAATTCATTGGTAGGAATGTTGTGGATTTGTGGCCATAAGTGGCTCTATTTTACATGCTCAGCTACACTTGTAGCTGTCCGCAGATTGAGTAAAACGCTCTATCATGTCATCTTTCAATATTTGGTTAGACACTGGGCCGAAATAGTGTGTGCAATGCCTAGGCTAAGATGCAGTGCGGTCAGATTCACTGAATGAAAGAAGATACACGAGGTCGTATGATTGCCAGTCAGGTGAGTTCAACACGCATGCGGGCGATGAAATATCAGGTGAGCCTTGGTTGGTTGGTTTTTATTTCACTTCGCACATTCAAACGGGATGACGACCCAATAAAATGACGGCGAAGGCTTAGAGCCTCGGACAAGCACTCTTCTAGTTCTATGCAACAGTGCGCCTATGTAACATTGTTGTGCATACCTGGTGGCTTCAGGTCAAAGGATACGTTCACGGTTCGGCGTAAAACCAAAACTTGGCGCACTCTCAGTCCCAATCTAAAGACTATGCATTCAAGTCAGGGTCGCCACAGGTACTGTAAGCACCAGTGAGTCAGTGACTGCTGTCCTGCGAAGTAGTCTCCAGAATGAAGCTGCTGAATACCTGGCAGAGTTCCAGCCTGCAGATACTGAAACACACTAGGGTAAGTGTTGCGAAAAGTGGTGATAAACGCGAAGGAGACAACCGTTTTATGATCTCGAACACGCACCAGAATGGTGATATCGATCGCCCTATTTGAGTCAACCATGAGGTTGTTTAGCTGAAAGGCAAATTCGGGGACAAGACAGAGCTAGGTGCTTGACCTCGGTGAGAATGTGGATACGAGAAGACTAGCACGTGGTTTCAGGGACTTTCCGTGATACGAAGTTTGGCCGCCACGACCAGTTGCACCTATGAACCTGAAATCTAAGTCTGTGTGCTTACGAGTAGGAAAGTGTAGCCATCCATCTTATCCCACCATGCATTCCTCTAGATGCCACGGTGCAAAGGATACTTCGTTCCCATTTCTAAAAGGACGAATTGAATTGAACCAATGGCTCATAATGTAACCCCAAGGAAAAGGATCTAACTCGGTATTGGCATAATATTGGCATTGGATGTTTGCACTTGGATATATCAGAAAATCAGGCACACACTGAGATAACATGTGATTTGATGATTGAGGTTCACAGAAGTCCCCGTGAGCGTCGATGCCTCCACTACTGTAGTTGCTGTCGCCGATCGCACGATCTACTTTCTGTAAGAACGCGCACCATGACCCGGTGAGGACGTGTCTTTGTTCTAATGCTACACTTTCGACACAAATTACGACTTGTGTTGTTCCCTACTTGCTTGCATTTGCTAGTGGAGAACTCGTGCGTCGACACAATCAGAAAGAGAGAAACGAGTTTTATAAAATTCCGCTCTGAATGTGAGATGTCATGGGGCACTCATACAATGTAGTCGACTTTCCTGAATGCATGTTATTCTGCTGCGCTCGTTTGTCTTTCTCTTTCCGGATCAAGCTGGATTCGGTGCGATTTTCCTACGCCTCGGGCTAGCTACGGTCGTAGCAGTCCTACCTGAGCATCGTGTATAGTAGCGTAGGGTGCACAGAGGCTACAGTTTGAGTCTTGCAGAGGACGTGAACTCCCGCGGACTCTGCTGCATCAGAACAATGCCATCACGTGTCCTTCCTTCTGGAAGTGAGGCAGACCGGTCAGTTTGTATGCATGCTGAGCAACGAATGTCAACACTCAAGACTGAAGTGAAGCGTTATGGACGTGAAGGTGGAGAATTAGGTGTCATCGTTGACACCTTGAGCTATGTTGAAGAATGGGGCGATACGACGAAAATAGCACACTTCGTTCTATTGCCATTCCCAGAAATTCCCGTAGCTACTTTGGTTTCGCTGGTATTATGTCCACGGGGGTGTGTGATGGCAGGGTCTGTGAAACGAGAAGCTCAATGCTGCGCCTCTGCAAGCTACTTTTTACGGGTGACACTGATCGACAGTACACGGAGATTGAATGGGACGTGCTGCTTGCTTGACTTTGAGCCCTCTCATGAACCAATACAGCAATAGCCTCCGGTACTGGTGCGCGAAAGGTAACGCAAGGACTAGTAACTCACGCGGCCATCAGTCCTGGCAGTAAGCAGGATCATTGAAATAATGTACCTCACTTTGTACTGCACTACCAAATCTCCAGCGTGCATGGACGATGCGCTTGCATGGAGATGTTAGCCTGGCCCTGAGCCTTAGGCTTAGGTCTCCCAACGACGGACCCGTCCTTTCGTCGCCAATATACAATGTAATGGTATTCCACTCAGCACCGTATCGTGTGGCGGGTCTCTCGGCTCGTATTATGTCCAAATTTGGACAAATTGGCCTAAAACCAAGGCTCAAGTATTTGCTGGACTGCATTACGCGGCAGTGAGAATGTTTGTTAGGATCCAGAAGGAGGCTATCGTCACCATTGTCATTGCAACCTGGTCATGTGACCTCTGTGCTTCTCTTTGCGCCACTATACTGACGTGCAAGAAGGACTCTCTTGTCATGAGGCTGTCAACAACATTCTTCCTCTGACATTATCATCAAGAGTAACTTAGTTTCTGCATTCGAGGTCGATAGAACCTTCGACATTCGCAGATCATCATTCTCAACGACACAGAAATCGTTGCACAATCATCCAAACCTTTTTTAGTACTGCGCGTGGAATAGTCACGTGTTCTGTTTAGCTGAAGTGGATGATTTGGATTTGTTTGCCTTCCGCGGACAATTGAGTCGTAAGAAGCAACATTATCCTTCGGCCGGTATATTCATTGCGCTGCATCAGACTGACTGACAAAACGCGATGCCTATATACTACAATGGTGTACGTCAACATGTACATGAATATTTATACATGTATCTGACGAATCAGGCGCGCCTAAATAATATGAATTGCGCGAAGAAGAATTCAAGGAGTATTCCCAGTGGGAAGCACCCATGCAGCAGGGCCATGCTCTCTGACGTTGGCAGTGATGTACTTGGAATGGATTCAAGTACAAAGGCATAAAACTGATTCTCGATAAACCTTTGTTTGGCAGAGACTAACACATGGTGGCGACCTGCACAGACGGGGATGGTGGGAAATTGTGAGCTTGAAATTGTTGCGGCTCCCACCGCACAAAGCTGGCAGGAGCCTTGAGCGTGTCTTGTTCTTAGGTACCCAACCTCTACGCCATAACGCCTATCCAAGTGCGGACGCTCGCGACGACATTAATTCTTAGCCCTGCCTCTTGAATCTAGGGAAAGGGGCCTAAATCAGAGCGTCAGTCTGTGTAGGCACAATGCACGATTCACACCCCTGGCCCTAGGTACATCATTCTGTAGTAAATGAATGGCACGTGAAAACTCTTCAGTGAAATATGCAGTCAATTCAAGTGGCCAGACCCAGAATTCTCCCGGGATTCGTCCCAAAGAGGTCCCTGTGAACGTTCTCTCTCTTTCTATTACTTTCAGTCAAGTAGTAGCGTCATGCCTCATGCTGGGACAGATGCTTTCTACTCTTACCAGTACATACATGTACATGTAGTTGGTTCTTGATCATGTGAAATTTGTTGATGCACATTGATTCAGAAATGCGGAAAAAAATATGTGAGGTAGCTTACACGCTTTCAACTTCAAGGCAGTGTGTACGAATGTCAGTGTGACGTCCACCCCCGACTGGGCCTTTGATCATGGAGGCTTGCATTGGGTCTGGTCTCTCAGCGGATTGCCAGCTACAGCTACAGCTGTCCAATGTAATAATGGCATCGCCGTAGTGCAAGGGCGAGTGGGGATTAGGGAAAGATATTTCCATCCCTTGCGGAATCGGGAAACCGTAACTCCCCTACAAGCGATCGACTTGCAACCACAATTAGCACCCATTTTCGCAATTAGCACGGAAGACTTCGTATCCGTGTGGCCGTCGCAGACATGCCGATTCCAGGTTACGTGCCGCACACGAAACACTTTGGACAAATACATACTCGAACCAGGACTCAGATTGTAAAATGTAACACTTGTTGAATGCGAACTGATTCTCATCCGCGTTCGAACAAAGCCCGTCTATTAAGGGGAGTGTACTTGGGTACCTACAATGGCAACATGCTATTGGTATTAGTATTATAACGCTAGTGTGAGGAATCGCCATGACCTACATGATGATTGTACAATGGTGCCAACACAAAAGTGAGTGCTTCTGTCTGATGATCACTGAAATGCGTGAAACGTGAGCTTAACTTACAGCTCCGCACAGTCCGCAGCCCTTCGCGTCCGGTGCTTGTGTATAATTTATATTGATGGCACCAGATATTTTAAGGTATTCTGTATTTAATTTTACTTCATCCAGCGACCAGGCAATGGTGCCATGCCAGTGATTGTTGACTCTCCTTCATTCATGGGGATGAATCAGCCTCTTTTTAGGTTTGCTAGAGCTTCATACTGCAGCGTAAAAATTAATCTGATCATGTATTTACATACATGTAATTATACAAGTTTAGCCTTTAGCCTCAGACCACCATTTCTGTAGCCTGGAATGTCGTTGCACGTGGGCTGTCCAGATAAGACGCGCCGTTTTCATTGACCACTTCACTTGTCATACATATCTCTCCTCGCACCAA